TTGACTTTTGTGACCCAGTTGATCTACAGGGATAGGGATGGCGTCAAAGGGGAAGAAGGGAAACAGAGCAAACCAATCCTTCCTAATCACTTGTTTGTTATTAGAGGTGTCCTCTGCTGTGCAGACTCAGTATTACAGCACGTCGTCCCTAAGGGGACTCAAATCGCACACCTAGGTAGGCCCGCTCTTCTCTGTCTTAGGACCAGGTATATTTTATTCTTTGCTAGCTACTTGTGGCACCTCAGTGGGGGTCTGTCCTTTTGAACTGCCCTTTAAGTAGATAATTACCCCCATTAAGTTCTCTTTGTGTTCAGTCTTCAACTCATTAGATGGAAATCATTGAAATTCTCAGTAGCCATTGATCATTGAGCTTCATGATCATGCATGTCAGTTACAAAAAGTACCTGTGGGCTCTTGAGATAACATCAGTGTCTTCCCAGCCAGAGTTAACCTATGCCCCTCTCAGTGTACCTGTCCACACTTACTCTCTGTGCAGTGAGGGCTGTCACTGTCAGCCTGCTGCCGTCATGGAGGAGAATCTGCCAGCTACCAGCAGCTGTTTGGCTGGGCTGAGCATATTCTTTCATGAGTATTAATTTACCCGGGACCAATTGCCAGATACCCAGTCAACTGTAGCAATTTTAAGACAGATCAGTTAAAACCAAAGCTTCTAGAATGTCCCATTAAAATTAAGCAGAAGTAGTGATTTCAAAATCAGGTTAATAGAATTTCTATCTCAAAATTTCAGACAAGTTTAAGTCTGGGCCAGAGCAGTAGATGCAGTGACCTTTTCAAGCCCCTTCCAGCCCTGAGATTTGGGGATTAAAATACTGATGTGAACTGCTGTGATGTCATTGGATGTCTAGTCTGGGACAGGAGAGGTTACTAGTGAGCGGCCAAACCTGTCTGCTTCCAATAGAAGGCAACTGAGAAAACACATTTTATGATCTGTTACACACACACACACACACACAACGCGCACGCACACACACTTCTCTTCTAAGAATTACAGCTAACTTTTTCCAGATCTCACCTCTTGGAGAATCCTTTTGTAAGCAGCTGTAAGTTTTGAACCCAGGAGTTTTGGGTTGGTTGATTATTTGAATATGTAATATAGTCTTTGGTTCAATTTTTTTTAATGTGTGTGTGTGTGTGTGTGTGTGTGTGAGAAAGAAAGAGATTTCCTTCCCACTCTTTCTCCATCATCCAGGATCCACTGTGTCCCCCTCCTCTGCCACTGCTCCACTCCAGTTTACCGCTGTTACTGGTTTCTTGTGTAGCCTCACAGCATTTTATTATGTATGACCTTATCTGAGGCAAATATGACCTATGACCTTATTTCCCCCACCCCTACTTACACAAAAGGTAGCATACTATGTATACACACTGTTCTGCACCTTAGTGTATCAGTTTCTCTTGGAGATCTTTCTATTTTAGTAGAGAGCTTCTTTATCTTTTTTTTTAAGCTACACAGTGTCCATTAATTTTTAGTCCCCTAAATATTTAGTTCCCTATTAATTAATACTTAACCACCTGTTGATGTGCATTTGAATTGTTTCTGATCTTTTGCTATTGCAACCATTTGAGTTGAAGAGTTTGAAGGGACTTGGGAGGCAGGTTGCTGTGTTGGCATTAGATTAGCAAAGTGGGAAGGTCCTGGGGTGTCAGGAGGGCCCGAGAGCTGCTAAGGCCAGGTTTCCCGTGTGTGTGTGTGTTTGTGTGTGTGTGTGTGTATTTTGCCTAGAGATGATCTTTGTATTGAATGTTCTATTTTCTCCCATTTTTTCTTTCAGGGACAATTCAAGCTTTCGAAATACAAAAATCACATTGTGAAAGTACACAAGCTGGCAATAATCCTTTTCTGTATGTGTGTGTTTGTCCGAAATGGATGGGAGGTCTTCGGCTGGTCCTTCCCTCTGCTCACTGAAGGGACGTCCCTGAGCTGTGTGCTCCCCTTTTGCACTCATTCCTGGAGGACGGATTCCGCTAGACACCCTCCAGCATCGCTGACTTTATAAAGCGGAAAAACGGAAAACGTGACTTTGTGATAGACAAACTTTTTTTTTTTAAATGGGTTCTGTGAGGGGAATTCAGCCTTTCATTTTGCTGCGTGCTGTCCAGATGCCTCCCGGGCATTCTGTCGTGCTCTCCTCTGCTGTACGAAGGGCGTCATGACCACATGTATACGCCAGAGCTGTTGACTGAGAGTGATCAGTATTATGAATGTCTGTGCATCCAGAGTCCTGAAATAGCTATAAATGCTCTCTCTAGCTCTGCCATTAAATTACTGGGACGTTTGTTTATTTCATGCCCCTCTTCCCCCAAGCCCCCACTTTCTGAAAATGTGTTACTGGTTTTGTACAGTCTCCTGCCTTATGCCCTCCAGTGTCCCTCCTGTGGGACTCTTTCCTTTTAGGCACTGCTGCACTTAGACTTTTAATCCAGTGGGCCACACTGGTTTCACTGAGGCGGCTTAGAAGGTATGACTTTATAAATTAAACTCCAGCAGAACCTAATTTGGTTAGGAACTAGGTTATAATGAAGGTTCCAAGTGCAGGATTTGGAGCTGAGGGCAGTTTCTGAAACCATTTTTCCAGATGAGGAGGGCCTGTGTGTCCAGCCCGTTTCTGTGGGTTCTTGCTTGCCCCTCATTGAGGAAGGGAAGTAAATGCTGGTTGTTGCCATGTGTTAACACTTAATATGGTGAATTCTATGATCCTGAAACTGGGACATCTGAAGAAAAGGTGGCCACGATAGATGGCTTTCTTTGCGTGGCTGTGCCTGTCTGCAGTGGTTGGAGGAACCCGCCTTCAGTCCTCATCACCTGGTATAATACATGTTAGCAAATGTGTGCTGATCCAGGATGCCCAGACAGAAACCTTGCAGGCGACTGTAGGCAGGCTCTAACAGTGACTGGGCATGCATCAGACTCCAGAAGGACTGAAGTCAGAGAAGTCAAAGAGCACCTAGGGTTGAAATGAGTACTGAGGACCAGTCCTCCAGCAGCCTCCAAGGAGCACTGTCTTACTTGGCTCTTGTGAGCAGAGATCGCAGTACCTTAAATTAAGGCCTCCTAAAACCTTCCTTACAGGCCAGGGGGCCTTGGCTACCTGGTCTCAGAAAAATCGTATGAGAGTAACAGGCATTTCCTTATTATATTTATATTACTCTCTTCTTGCTTTCCAGCTCCTGAACACCCTGTAATTACCACTGTCTTGGGATGTTTTTTCCTAAAAGAACAGGGGAATATAGGGGCCAAAAGGGAGGTGCTTCCATTACAAGTGAAGTTAGATCAGATAAGTAGATCTAGCCGGAATTTCAACTTTAGGAATGTGAAGAATCAATTCCAGTGCCCAGACAGTTGTGAAGGGCTCATACAAGTATAGGAGCAACATTGGTTAAAATGGGGAGCAAAGGCTGCCTCCTGAGTTTAGACCCCAGGGAGGTCTTCACTTTTGCCTAAACTCAGATTTGCCATGAAAATTCCAAAGAGAGCAGACATTTGGATTTGCCCCACTTTGGGCATCTACCTGACTCTTAGTGTGTGCGTGTGGGTGTGTACGTGTGTATGTTCACGAGTGAGGGTTTTGTCAGGCCGAGTGCTTAGGTATTGTCCGTATTCATGTTTTTGCTTTTCTGCATCTTTTATTTGTCTTATTTGTTCAGACTTTTTAAACTTGTGTTTCCTAGAGCTGCTCATGTTTTCCCCTTTCCTCTTTGTCTTTGCAGTATTTGAAAGTTGTTTTTTCCCATCAAAAATATGCTGGTTAGAACAAGAGTTATTCCTGCTAGGCAGCGTCTTACCCCCAGAGCTCTCCAGAGATTCTGCCTAACAGCTTTAAATGAGAGAGTGAAGAGTCAGTTTCTCCAAACCACCCATTTTCCACACTAGCTTGAGAGGTCGTTTCAATTTTGCTTTGACTCCATGGGCCTCCGCTGCACTGAGATAGGACACAGTTATGCTTATGGCATCACCAGTGCTAGCGACAAAGGGGAGAAGGTGCGCCAGGGCCAGTCTAGCAGACGTGGGAGGCTGCTGCTGGGGGATGGGGAGTCACTGTCCACTGTGCCAGGCGGGCTGTTCCCAGGACCCCTCAGAAGCTGGCCCTACTCCCTCCAGTGCTCGTCTCATCTTCTGTTCATGTGTATGTGCGTTTTCCCTGTGACATTAGCAGTGACAATACTTTTCCACCCAGAGAGAAGCTTGTGGTCCACGATGCTCCAAGAATGAATTTGCAAGTATTTGCCAGTGGAGGAGCAGAGGCTGTGACAAGAGTAATTTAGTGTTGCACTTTCAGAGCAATTGTCTACTGCAGTAATAAATGAAAAATAACAGCAAGAACCCGGTTGTGGACTCTTTAATCCAGTGGAAATGGTGATACTGGTAGTTTGTTGCCACTAATTCTGCCCTTCACTAATTCTGCGTGGATCTTCATTTTAAATGCATCCCAGAACACATAATGTGAAATAATCTAGAAACTGCCAGTATTATTGACATAAATATATCATAAAAAATATTCTCTGATATTAATCATTGTCAAAACTCAATTTACATTTTGAATGTCAAAATATAGTTGTTCATTTTAATTCTTCTGAATTCAGGATGAGGAGTGTTGGAATGGAAGGAAGTTCAAAGATTTAGATTTGGAAGTAAGAAGTCTCCCCAGGCCGTGGCTTGGGATGTTCTGTTCATCCCAGAGCTGGACACGGGGGGCATTCCACAGCCCACGTGAAATACCGCGGGAGCGTGACACTTCTGCAGAGCCGCAGTTTATAAAAGATTTAAAACAGTATAGTCTGGAAACTTCATTTCAATAGGTAGAAATTTCCTCTATGTATACGTCATGGTCCAAGTGAAGACAGAAACCATGCAAGTTATTTTAACAATATGGTAAGAGTTGTTGACTCAGTCACTAAGAAGGCCTAAAGAAGACACCAAAAAATCAAGGAGGTAGTAGCACCTCCAGGGGCATGGGCCTCTGAAGATGGATGCTGCTCACCTGGTGCAGGTGTCTGACGGCGAAAAGAAGCTGGTCCGGGCATGTTGGCAGCAGCAACTGATTCAGCTGCAGCCATAGGAGCACATAGCCATTGCAGAGATGAATGAGGCTGGAGTGACGCTGATAAGAACAGGAAGGAGCTGCTCTTCCTTTTTCTCTCTCCAGCATCGAAGTGCACCCTGTTGGAGAAATCCAGTGGTCTGCCAGCTGGCCAAGCAGAAACGTGTGCAGAGCTCTAGGCCCAGTATCACAGAAATAGAGTTCAAAACGATAAGTGTGAAACAGAGGTACAGTCCTCCCCTTTAGCCACTCAGCGTCTGCACACACCCTTCTACACGTACTGGAACTTCAGAAGTATCAGTAAAGAAACTCTTTCTGCCCAGGATACAACTAATTGTCAGACATTCTTAGCCTCTCCCCAAACCAAGGACATGTAAAGATCAGCAGTCAGTGTGGGCCTCTGGGCCACGCTGATCACTCTAATTCAGTCACAGCCTCATCTCAACAGAATGTAGAGCAACAAAACTAAAGAGTAAAAACTTTCCAAAAACCTTGTGTGAAATAACGAGGAAAGAGGAAAATTGTGTGTGTGTTTACACATAATAAGCAAGGATAGGTAGTGTCTGTAACTCATGAGGCTGGAGTTGGTACTTTTAACTTTTTTTCCACCATCAAGTCTTGATTTCCTTTGCTCTCAGCCAGGATCTCAGCTGGTCAGGATTCTTTGTTTGGCATGGTTGGTCCAAATCTTTATTCCTAAAGGATCTGAATTAGTCATCCAGCCTTTATTTGTTAACAGTTTGCCATTCATTTTTGCTGTTTGTAAGAGAGGACCTCGAGAATTCTCTGGCTTCCAGCCCGTCCTCCCTACCCGATCTGTGCAGTAGTGCCCAAGTTTCTTCTCGGGGATGCTCCCCAAGCAGTAGAATAATCCCCTTATTTGCTTGTTGGTTCAGTGTCCTCAAGGGCCCAGAACAGCCTGGTGAGCTATTTGCAGCCCAGTGGAGCCATTTGTGTCCCCTGGTGGGTGCATTCCTCCTTTGAAAGCAGTAACATACTCCAGCAGACCTCCATGTTGAGGGGCTGGTGGGAGTAACCACTCCCACTTCTATTCCTTGATTCCTGGGTGCATGAGTTCTGGTTATATGAGCAGGGAATGCAAATCCAAGTCCGGAATATGCATCTACTTACACGGTTTGCCAAAGGGCAACGGAATGAATCCAGCCCTTTTTCTTTTCTTTGAGCTCTGGCCACCTGGATGTTCCACGTTTTGGTATTTCTCATCTCATGTCTCTGCCCATGGGATCCACTTTCCATTGGCTACAGTCCTGGTTGGTGTATTTGGAAGTGTCACATCCCCCAGGTTTGGTTCCGTGTGACCGTTACATTGAGCTCACCTCCAAGATCATTTTTGACTCAAGCTCAGATGTCCTGGACAAATAGCCCGACTCCATTCCAACGGTTCATAGAAGTATAGCTAGCTGATGTCTCAGCTGCAAGAGAAAAGGAGGCTTCTGCTGCCCTCAGAATGTTCATCCAGCAAACACTCACTTCCTGTGTGGGCAGCATGTGGCTATGGTGACAGGCGAGCTGGCAGCCTGGGGCCGTACCCTTGAGGAACTCAGGCTGGAGGGAGAAGTTCCCGAGCGCAGCACAGGAGACGTGATGAGAGGCATGGGAGGGTAGTGGGAAGACTGGGAGGAGCTCTAGCATCCCGACAGGGCCAGGGAGGAAGGAAGGCCTTCTGGAGGCTCTGGGGTTCAAATGTAGTCAGTGCAGGCCCAGTCCAGTGGGCAGGTTACCTTCATGCACGTGGACTTTGAAAATGCAGGTGTGAGACTGGTGGGCTTCATGCTGGAGGTGTTCCCTCTGGGTAAGATTGGCATTACGTGTAGTAAATTATACCAGTTACTAAACACTCCCTGTCAGTGCCAGGCACTGGGGTAACTTTACGTGTATGGTGCACTCAGTCTCCTGACAGCCCTGTGGGTAGGTGACTATGGTCCTCATTTTACGGATGAAGAAATAGGCAGGAAGAGGGTAGCAACTTGCAGAAAGTCACACATGTCATGCAAGGGCAGAGATGGGGGTCTGACCTTGGGTCTGTTGAGTCCCGAGCTCCTAAACCTTCTAGGGCATGGAAGCGACGGCTCACCTAGTCTGCAGGCCATTACTTGGATGGATAAGAAAAATGGTCTCCAGAGCAGACCTGGGCCCTTTCACTGTAAAATGACCCTTGCTACTGCAGGGTGGTCCCAAGGGGTAAGAGGCCCCACCCAGCTGGCCACAGAGGATCAAGAACAAGAATACAATGTTACTTCCCTTCAGCCCCTGTGAGGGGAAGGAGGGCACAGTGGTTTGCTGGCCAGGTGACATTTTATATTCTTCCTCATCCCACACCATCCGTCTGACACCAAGAAAGCCTGAGTACTGGCCTCACCCACACCATGTAGATTCCTAGTTTCCACAGCCGTGAATGTTTCTATAAAGTCACTCTGCCCAAATCACTCTCGGTGTGAGTCCACCAGTTCCATTGTCTCATTAAACTCTCTTCACCAGTTGTGTGGAGAGCAAAATTCCCACCCTGAGAGCCAATGCCCAATGTTCTCCCTACTCCGCTCTGGCTCCCCCATCCCCCAACCCTCCCTGCCTACCCCATAACCACAGTGGACCCAGGCATGAACTTGGGCCCAAAAGTGTCATTCTGGCAGCATGTCAATTCATCTGGATGGATGAGACCCAAGAATCAAGATGAAAGACTAAAGATGAAGTCACTCGGGATAACTGCAGTTTGCTACAGCCTTCCTGCAGCATCCAACATGTATTACTGGCATAAACACCTGTTAAAATCTGATGAGATGCTAGAAGGAACCCTGTAGTGCTGGATTAGAGTACGAGATACCAGTATGAAGTCATGTTTAACTTAATACACATAACACAGATACAGAAAAAAGAATACACGTGTATACATGTGTTAATATACATAGTCATATTCCCTGGCTTTATCCTCTGAGCGGGACTAGAAGCAATGACGCCCCAGTAGCAGCAAGGACACCTTGCAGCCAGATCTTAGTGTCTAAATACCATTCTCCAATAAAAAGAACCACACTCCCTGGAGAAACAGCTGGTTCTAGGGCTGGGCAGGAAAAATATAAGATGAACCTGGAGCAATTTGAAGTGCCTGAAAGTAAAGTTTTTTTTTATAAAACCTACAACACCTCATATTAATGGGGGCATGTCAAAAGGACATAGGAGCCAAGCAAAAGAGCTCCCAATGGCCAAAGCTAGAACAGCCTGAGCAACAAAATAATGTCATGCTGGATTACAACCCAAAGTAAAAAGTAAACATCCATGAGTCTGCACTGATATAAATAGATTATTCAACAAGTAAGTCAATGGAAGGCAATGGACAAATCCCCTGTGGGGAAGAATTCCAAATAACATGGAATAACCCCTTTTCTTAAGTGTAGGCTATGCATAGTGAATTCCTTCCAAAGAGTACAGTATGGAAAGGAGATTTAAAAAACTGTCTTGACAGGAGAGAAACCTGATAAACATGACTTCAGCCAGGTGATCCAAGTCAGCGTCGCCAGCGATAATTCACGTTACTGTGTGTATCTGTGTACCCTTGATATGATGTGATGAAAATGACACTCTACCTCTGTGATCTTCCTCCCAAAGACCCAGAACCCCCGTCTAACCTAAGAAAAAAATCAGAGAAGCTCCAGTACAGGGGTATTCTGCAACATACCTGACAAGTGCTCCTCAAGACTGTCAAGGTCATCAAAAACAAGGAGAGTCTGAGGACTCCCACAGTCAAGAGGAGCCTAAGGAGACATGATGACTGATCCTGGATAGGGTCCTGGGACAGAAAAGGGACATTAGCTAGAAACTAAGGAAATCTGAATAAACTATGGACTTTAGTTAATAACAATGCATCAGAATTGGCTCATTAATTGTAACAAATGTACCATACTAATGGAAGATGTTAATAATATGGGAAACTAAGAGAAAATAAGTGTGGAGAATATGAGAACGCTCTCTACTATCTTCTCAATTTTTTAACCAATCTAAAGCTGTTCTAAAAATATTTAGTCTGTTAAAAACAAACAAACAGGACACAGGAGCCAACCTGAAAGAGTTCCCAGTAGCCGAAGCTGGAACAACGTAAGCACCAAAGTAAGATACTATTGCACTATAATACAGAGAATGAAGTATATATCCATGGATCCATACAAATACAAATAAATCATTGAATTCACAAATAAATAAATGAGGGAGAAGGGACATCTTCCTTATAGAAGAATTTCTAATGATGAGTGTAGAAGGAATGAGCAAAATAGAAATCACCATTACTTCATTATAGTGATGAATGCTAAAAACTGAGCAAAACTTTAAGGAGAAATTGGGTATCTGCCTCCCCCACCAAATGTTTATTAATTACAGCAGTGGTTTTAACACATGTCCACAGATATTTGGTACTTGCCCTCCAAGAAGTAGAGCTTAATTCATCTCCCTATGAGTATGATTTGAACTTGACTCCCTTCTAATGAGGGAATGTGGAAAAAGAAAAATAGTAACTTTACAGTAGAGAAACCTGGCAGACACATCCTTAGTCACGTGATCAAGGTTAATAGCATCACTGGGTCATGTTGACACCTTGTGCTCTGATATGTGATGAGGACACTTCACCTCTGAGGTCTTCTTCCCCCAAATCCATAACCTGTGTACTCGTAAGAAAACATCAGACAAACCCACACTGAGGGATAGTCTACAAGATACTAAAATACTTGACCAGTACTATTCAAAAGTGTGAGCATCATGAAAGACAAAGAAAGATCCAGAAACTGTCAGATTGGAAGAAATGAAGGAGATATGATGACTAAATGTAGTGTGGGATCCTGGACCAGAAAAAGGGACACTACTGGAACACTTGGGGAAATCCAAAGGAAGTCTGAAGTTTAATTGCATAGTGTACCAGCGCTCACGTCATAGTTCTGATCAATGCACCGTGGTTGTGTAAGATGCCAACATTAGGGGAAGCCAGGTGAAGGGTACAGGGGAGCTTTGTACACTATCTTTACAACTCTTGCATAAGATTTAAAATTTATTTCAAAATAAAAAGCCCAAGAACTTGCACAAGGGGTGATGCTTGATTTGAATGCTTAGATCTTGCTCTGAGATGAGGCCTGGGACCCTGCCCTCCAGGGTAGGTTCTGGTGGCTCCATCAGTGCCAGCACCAGGAGGTATGCCTGCATGCCTGTTACTCAGGGAGACTCTGCCTGATGCTCCACCTTCCAGGCTCCACCTACCCCGATGCTTATCCTAAATCAGCACACAGCCTGCAGGTGCTTTAGGGTCCCAGCCTGACAATAAATGAACATGAGCCCCACCCCCCCATGGCACAAGGGAGACATTCTGTGAGCTCAGGTCAACAAAGGCCTGTGCTTATGAAGCTGAAAGGAACCCCTCTCACCTCAGTCCCAGCAGGAGGAGGAGCGGTAAGACTTGAAGTAGCAGGTGGTAAAGAGAGGGGGCCTAAAGAGCAGGTGTGGCTCCTGAAGGACCAGCAGAAAGGGGACAAGGTGAGAGCCCCAGGAGTGGAAAGCTTAGCCCAGTTTGCCCATCAAGGAGCCCCACCTGATCCCCCACCCTGGGTAGGCTCTGGGTGGTCCACAGAAGGCAGAGGGCTGGAGTCCAAAATGAAAGGGACATGCCACCAGCTGTGGGTCACTGATGGGCCAATGGTCAGACTGTCTCCTCCCAGGTTAAGGTGTGGTGAGGTGGTCACAGGTCAACCAAATCAGGGCGGAAAGGCAGCAAAAGGGCACCATACTGGCTCTCTAGAACAACCATTGGTAAGATGTTAAGTTCCAAATTTGCTGAGGCTTGCAAAAATGACCATGGGCAATAGAAAGGATCTTTTAATTGATCAGGGCATGAAAGGAACAAGAGGCAACTGGTGTGAGATCAACGGAGGAAGAACAAATTGCCTCCTCAGCATGGAAAGGGTGGGCCTAGCAGCGTGGTGCAGACAAGAGCCCAGGAAATCTCAGATCCCCCAGCGCTAACCCAGGCAGGAAATAGGAGGTGTGCTGACAACTGGAGACAGGGATCCCTAAACTCAAGTCTCTGGAAGAGGAGAGGCTTCAGCTAACTCTATACAGGGCTAATCAATGCAGATGGAGGGTTTGAGGGAGAGGAGGGTGGCCAGAGAAGAGCAGAGACTCTGAAGTCCTTCAGTCTGAAGAAAGGAACAGTGACAGGTGAATGGCTTTTCAAATGTCTCAATGACTAATTGTAGGAAATGGCCTCATGCCATGGAACCAGGACCTCCGGGTAGAAGTTAGAGACGGGCTTTCAGTTTAAGAACAGCTTCCTGGTAATTTGAGCTGTCAAAACATGGAGGGACTGGCTCAGGCAGTGCAGGTGGACAAGCAGAGGCCAAGTCCACCTATTGGGGGATTTACCATAAAGATCCAAGTGGCACACCCAAGGGTAGACCAGATGGCCTTTAAGGCCACATTCATCTCTGGAATCTGAAAGTCTCAGAACTGAGGATGGGGAAGCGACTCTGCTGCCTCCTGCAGTTACTCGGGTCCTGGGGACTCAGTGGCGTCTGGCTCTCGGGCTGCTGTCAGCTGGTGAATTTCACCCGAGCACCAGCGACAACAGGCAGTCTGCCAGTTTGGCCACGAAGGTGCTAAATGTCCAGGCTCTGAGCCCCTGGCCTTCTGGGAAATTCTTGCAGCATATTTATAAAACGATGGCTCAGTGGTGAGCTTTTCCAGACTGCAGCTGCCAGGAAGGGGTAGACAAGTGGTTTGAAATCCACTACAAGCTGGGCAGGAAATTCCTCAAGACACAGGTCAACATGAAGCAACATGAGATCCCATTGCTCCTGCACCTGTCACGCCTCCGCCTTCTCTCCCAGGACCCAGAGGCCCAGGGCTCCAGCTAAGTACCTCCTGCCGGTGCCCTTCCTTCCGCAGGCCCCTCTCCAGCCCAGGCAACCTGATGCCTCTGCCCTGGAATGCCTGGCTGTGCTCCATCCTCACCAGCCCACAGCACTGTCATGTGGGGCCTCTCTGCCCACACATTTTTGTTCTGCCTCATCTCCCTCAAATATACTTTAGCCCCTTTCTAACGAAAGAGGTTTTTTTTTTCTTATTTTAAAAAGTGTTCATTAGATAAACAAACTGGTACATCCATACAATGGGCTTTTATTCAGTAATAAAAATAAATGAACTATCAAGCTATGTAAGAGACATGAAGGAAACTTCAGTGCATTTGACTAAGAGAAAGAAACCAATCTGAAAAGGCTACACACTGTGTGATTCCTACTATATGACATTCTGGAAAAGGTAAAACTATGGCAACAATAAAAAGATCAGTAGTTGCAGGAAGAAGTGCGGGAGGGTGATGGGCAGCGCACGCAGGGTTTTTAGAGCAGTGAAACTGCTATTCTGTATGAAACTGTAATAGTGGGTACATTTATTACACAGTTGTCAAAACCCATAGAATGTACAAAACCAAGAGTGAGCAGAGTGAGCCCTAAAGTAAACTATGGGCTTTAGTTGGATAATAATGTATTAATATCGACTTGTCAATTGTAACAAATACACTAAATACAATGTTAAAAATAGGGGAAATTGGGGAAGGTGGTAGAGTGGATTTGGCAACTCTATACTTTTTGCTCAATTTTTCCTGTAAACCTAAAACTGCTCCATTACAGAAAGTACAGAGAGGCAAAAAAACAAAACAAAACAAAACGCTCTAGAAAAATCCATCATATCATTTACTCAGAAAAATATTTGTACTACTGACGTGTATAACATTTACACTTAGGGATCTCTAACGAATGGGATCATTCTGTAGGTCCTCTTTTTCTTATCTTCACGTTTTCTTTTGAAATAATTATAGACTCACAGAGAGTTGCAGAAATAGTACAGAGAGGACACCCTTCACCCAGCTTCCCCCAGTGGTACCGTTTTACACAGAGATAGCACAGGAACCTGACCTTGCACAGTCGTACTTGTCATATAATCGGCTCTGTTTATTTAACAATGTGTTTAACAGTGTACTGTGAACACCTTTCTGTCAATGGTTACATTTCTGAAGTGCTGTGGGTTTTTGACGGCCATGTAATAATTTGTTGTGTAAATTGCAATAATGTACTCAATAGTCCCTATGGTTATTATGGATGCTAGTTTGTTTTGCTGTAACCAAAGGCACTAAATTTTCATCAGTTACATCTAAGTGTATATACTCCCTGGCAGAAGCCCTTCACTTAAGTTGACTCATTCAGTCCTCTGACTACCCCTTGAGGCAGGCACCGATTCATGTTTCCTTTATAGAGGAGGGTCCTGGAGAAACACTTGCCCTAGGTTGGCCCCAGAGCCTGGGATCTTTACCCCGGAGCTGCTCTGCCCTGAGAGGCACCCACCTCTGCTTCCTTTGGATCAACTGCCATCAGTAGGAGCGCTGGGTTGAAGGGGATGCACCTTGTACCTGCTGCAAGCAGCACAGCCACCAGCTCACAGCCCTGCAGCAGCCGTGCTGGTGCCCTGCCTGTATCCCCTGGGCGTTCATTCTACAGGCGGAGAGCTGCTTTTACTTGCTGTGAACATGAGACTCTCTGCTTCCGGACTTTTTCCCCCTGGCTGTCCAAGCACACTTGGTCAGCACACAGCCAAACTGGAATCCCAGCTGCTGGTTAATACCCCTGGAGACAGCCTCCCTCTCATGGTGGACAGGGAGCTGCTGTGTAAATACCTGACTTCTTGCCTCTTGGCTGGGATAACCTGAAAGCAGGCTTCAGGCTGTACCCCAGAGTTCCCCAGTGAGACTGAGCTCCATTT